AGAGCCAAGGAAAAAAAGGATCATTCCGCAGTGCGTACGTTGTCAGCAGTATGGCCATACCAAGACGTACTACAACCACCAGCCGAGGTGTGTCAGGTGTGGTATGGGTCACGAAAGCACTTCCTGTACAAAGACTCGAGAAACAGTCGCAAAATGTGCCAACTGCCAAGGACCACATCCTGCTAACTACAGAGGTTGCGAAACTCTGAAAGAGCTTAGGAAGACCCGCACAAGAAACCATACTCTGCAAAGGCCTCCTAGAGTTCAACCCCCACCACCAGAACTACACGAGTTCCCACCACTGCATCAGCCTCAATACCCTCATCCGATTCCCTCAGGACCAGAACAACAGCAGCAAAGACAGCAACGAAAACCAGCACCGGCAACAAACCAAGAACAAAGGCCTAAAGGTATGAGTAGGGACATTGCCCAAACGCTCCCTACTATTGAAACCGCCTCAGGTGATATCATACATTTGATTAGCGGTCACAATAACCTCATACAGCCCCTCTTCAGTCTTCTACAACAGCTATCTCAGGCTACTCTCGCTCTCACCCAAAAATATACCCCGTAATCAGACGACTGTGGGCTCCATGTCTATTATACTATGGAACGCAAACGGACTGAATCAACATAGAACCGAACTAGACATATACTTACACGAGAAACGCATTGACATTGCACTAATAACAGAAGCACATCTGACACCACATTCTAAATTTTACATCCGTGGTTACAAAATCTACAGAACTGACCACCCAGATGGAACTTCACATGGAGGCACTGCCATAATTATCAAAACAACTCTAAAACATAATCCTTTACAATTACCCATAACACCAGAGATTCAAGCTACAGCCATTACACTATCAACACAACAACAAAACATTACTCTTGCTGCGGTTTATTGCCCTCCGAGGTATGTTCTGACACCCATGATGTTTAGTGATTTCTTTAAACGTCTTGGTAGATGCTTTGTTGCAGGAGGCGACTACAACGCCAAAGATCAGTTCTGGGGATCCAGACTATCTACTCCAAGAGGAAGGAATCTTAGGTATGTTCTTTATGAGCTTTCATTAGACACAATATCACCTAATTCACCCACGTACTGGCCAACTTCTAGACGGAAAACACCAGACTTACTCGATTTTTTCATAACTAAAGGACTCCGAACAACACCTCACACTATAACAACGAGTTCAGATCTTTGCTCTGATCATTCCCTTTTGCATTTGGTATTGTTTGAAGAGCCTTGTGAAGCTATAAAAAAACTGTCTCTGATCAATGGCATAATGGATTGGGACAGGTACAGGAACCAATTGGACACTGCTCTCTCTGTTCCACTATCCATTAAAACCGAAGAAGAACTTGAAGATGCCGTTGAATACTTCACACGAAATATCCAAGAAGCAGCATGGTCTTCATCAGTAGCAAAACCTCAAAAATATGAGTTCCTACCACTGTACCCACAATACATAAGGGACTTGATCAGAGCGAAGAGGAGAGCTCGCAAAATATGGCAGACTGACAGACTCTCATCAGATAAACGAACTTACAACAGACTTAATAATGAACACAAACGACAGATTGGAAAATTCAAACGAACAACCTATGACAACTACATCAGAAATCTCTCAACCGACGATGGAAGCTTGTGGAGACATACCAAAAACCTTATTAAGCATCGTGAAGGGCCAGCACCCCTTCGAAGACAAGATGATTCCTGGGCCGTGACGGACGAAGAAAAATCAGAACTCTTTGCCGAATATCTTTCTTCTGTTTTTGTACCACACACAGACTTCACTAACACTGTGCACGATAACAACGTACTTAACACTTTAGACATGCCCTTACAACTAACTTCACCTCCTATTTCATTCACACCTTCACAGATTGCTGAACAAATCAAAAAGTTGCCTAAAAGAAAAGCTCCTGGACATGACTTGATTAACGCTGAAGAGCTCCAACAAATGCCTAGAAAAGCTCTAGTGCTTTCGACAACTATTTATAATGCAATACTGAGGACAACTAAATTTCCCCTACAGTGGAAATACTCACATATAATAATGATTCACAAGCCTAAAAAGGACAAAAACTCACCTTCCTCATACCGACCAATCAGCTTACTACCTATCTGTTCCAAAATTTTTGAAAGCTTACTGAACAAAAGACTTATATACTAACAAACACCCAAATAATACCTGACCATCAATTTGGATTTAGGGCACATCACTCAACTGTACACCAACTATATAGAGTAACGGACTACATATCTACAGCACTAGAGCAGAAAGTATATGCAACTGGCGTATTTCTGGATGTTGCTCAAGCGTTTGACACCAGGGTCTTCTCTTTAAACTCAAGACAATACTCCCACCTACATATTATCTAATTCTACAATCCTTCCTTTCCGATAGATTTTTTTCTGTCCGACACGGGTCAGAACTATCTTCCATCAGGTCTATCTCAGCAGGAGTACCTCAAGGTTCAGTACTCACTCCACTACTCTATAACACATACACCCATGACATACCTTGTAGTCCCAACATTTTAACAGCGACATATGCAGACAACACAGCAATTTTAGCAAGACACAAAAATCCAACATACGCCTCACAGACCCTACAACAGTATTTAACAAGATTACATGACTGGTTCAAAATTTGGAAAATCTGACTAAATCAAGACAAATCACAGCACATCACATTTACGCTTCGACATGAAACATGCCCTCCAGTTTTCCTTGACGATACACAGATTCCACAGACAGACACCGTTCACTACCTTGGTCTGACATTTGACAGAAAAATGACGTGGGGCCCACATTTAATCTAAAAACGAAAAACTTTAAATCAAAGATTAAGAATTCTGAGTTCACTTCTTTCAAAAAATTCAAAACTAAAACTTAGACAGAAATTGAACACATACAATTACTTACTAAAACCTATTTGGACTTACGCATCACAGATATTTGGAACTGCTAAAAAGACTCACTTAAACAAACTTCAAATCTTTCAAGCAAAAACATTCAGAACAATTACAAAAGCACCTTGGTACGTTAGCAACATAACCTTACATACTGACCTCCATATGCCGACTGGTAACGAACACATACGTATTCATTACAAACGATTCCATGACAACTTACAAGGACATACTAATACACTTATAAATGACATGGCCACTACGAATATGCCAGCCAACGTCTGTAGAAGACTGAAGAGGAGCTGGATGAGGGACCTCCTCACCTAATGTAGATATCACGCCGAGTGAGGTGCCGCTGGGCACTGATCCTCCTCATGCCTTTCATGACAATTCTATAAATCAATCGATCTCACATTCACTGGTTGTCATTAGCATTATGACAGGTGTGAATAAAACATTAAAGCTAAAAAAAAATAAAATGGTCTTAGGAAGCTTACATACCAAGGTAGGTTTTAGGACAATTTTAAGCCAGCTGTCAATCAATACAGCAGACACCAGAAATCTAATGAGAATAGATGAAGACTTGTGGATTTTACCATTGGAAGAAGCCTATCAATTAGCACCATCCACTTTCTCTGTAAGAATATGCATAAGGAAACTTGGTTCTCCCGGATGGACAAATAAGAAACCAAATTGTCCATGTCCTAATTCATTCTAGACACACAACGTACATTACAGATGTAAGAGTTTTTAGAGGGGCAGATTTAAACTCTGACCACTTTCTTAATATCATCAAATACAACCAGAAAATAGCACTGAACACGAGAGAAAAGCTTATTATTACAATGTCCATAGACCTCAGAATAAAAATGTTAAGAGAGAAACGTGTCAATACAATTACGAGGAAATTTACAAAAGGACATGGTGGGATAGAGTCAAGTACAAGATGGACAAAGTTAGAGGTGGCAGTGAGCTGTTCTGTCCAAGATATTCTTGGATTTCTGCAAAAGAAAAGGTATAAAAACACCTCCTGAGGAAGAGGTATGCAAGTTCTCAGCATGAAAAATTATGAAGATACAGGGGATGATCAGTGGAGGTATGGTACTCAGTGGCCTATATGAAATAATTTTCGATATATAGATACCAGCTGTATAGTCTACTTTACTCTTATTGAATGCTCGTTAATGTCCTATCTACAAGAAAGGTGACAATGATAGAGGTATAGCCCTCCTTAGTGACTTACTAAGTTCTGGCATCTTTGATTTGCAGAATTGTTGGTGAATACCTACTATGGGGAGTTAGGCAAAAAAAGGTCGATAAGTAACCACATTTTTGCTTTAATGCAGCTGTTGGAAAAGATATGAATTCAAGATCACCTATTTTAGATTTCCAGCAAGCTTACAATGGTGTACAGCATGATTTGTTGAGCTTGTGGGTACTAAGAGATCAGAAAAATATATGGACCGGTTTGCTCTGTGAGAGAGTGGAAAATAAGAAAAAAACATGAATTACAAGGACTGCACGACCAGCCTAATATGTACATTATAAAAAAGGGAAGGTTGAGGTGGCTTGGATATGTGGAACAATCGCCTCCTGAAACAATTAATGTATGGAAATTCAGATGCCTGAAGATGTCCTAGGATGAGGTGGTTGGTTGATATTGAGACAGACCTGCAGCAGCTGGAGGTAGTTAGGAGATGGAAAGCTGTTGTAGCCGACAGACAAGCCTGGCAAACCATCTGTGAGGGGCCTATGCTCTCCAAGGGCAATAGCACAAAAGATAATAATAATAAAGGGTGTCCAATTTACTACACAGGCATCAGACACTTGACCCCTACAAAGATTTATTATTATTGAAAATAATAAATCAAACCATCACATATTTTCATAGCTGATGACTCAGGAATATATTTCTGCTTAGCAAAGTTATTAAACAATGCCACTTCGAATACAAGATAATTAATTATAAAAACAAATAACATTCATATGAAAAACATTTTATTTTTACAAAATATTTCTTTTTAAAAAAATTGTAAAAGTACAGGAAAAAAGGATATAACTATTGATTAAAAAACTTATCTTTGCATTATTTATTACAGAAATACATACAAGAAATTAATTACAGTACATATTTAACATCGCATCTTCCGTCCGTCATATTCTCATTTGTGCTTTTAATACAAATAGTCCACCACATTAAATTCTGATAGGACTCAAAGAAAATAAATTTATATCATAAATTTTATTAACACTTTTAGGTACTTACAAGATATACTTACACCTGACAATAATTTTAACAGCCTTAAGCTCCATAACTTCAAATATACACCATATCACATATTTAGCTATATAACACAGTAAAGGAGGCTATTGCTGACTCAAATATAGTAAACAAATAAATAGAATTGTCACAGACGTTTCAAAATTTGTTGACTATACCCCTCAGGATAACTTACATATCACCAAAAATTTTAGAATTTATTCATAATATACACAATAGTTTAAACAAATATCTACAATGTTATAATTATATAATACAACCTTTTCTATAAGGTACAATAATATTTTAACAAAGAAAATATGTTAACATAAAACAACTGCATGTATATTTATTTATATATACTTATAAAAGTTCCTCCTATACAATATTCACAAGAAATCAATAAAAGTACTTTGCTCATTAATCTATTAGTTTACTCCTCCACGCGTTTCTTCAATAAATTAAGCAACGGAGAATGTTGCTTGGGTAGTCATGTTCTGCCTAAAACAAATATGTTATCTAGTCCTATTCTTAATGAAAGTATCTTAATATACAATTTACATAATTACATTGAGATATATACATCAAATAGTCAAAATACATAATACAGTTAAATACAAAAGAGAATAATCATTACAAAAATTCATTATATGAATTTTTGATAATTTTATGCAAGAGAAAAAAAAGGAAAATGTGAACTTGTAGATAATAAACCACTTAAAAAATGATTATACATAAGCCATGCCCATTGTTCACTTTGCATTAAAAAACGTCATTATTGAAGGTCATTCTTCAAACAAGAAACATTACAAAAAAAAAAACCAAAAAAAAAAAACCAACTACGTATACTACGCACTATTCCCACACTTACAAATCGGCCAAGTCGTTTTCAACTGCAGGCTGGACTTGTTTCTGAACCATACAAGAACGTGCAACAGATTCAAATAACCTACAAAATATGTTTTAATTAATTAAAAAGTAAACAGAAATATTCGGAAACTAAAGAATTATGAAATAACTTACTTTTCAATCTCTGGAGCACAATGCACAAATTCATGGTTCCAGAACTTATAGGTAGGATTTTTAATGAGTTCAATGAATGTTATCAGCAAACCCCATGGGTGTGGCCTATTTACAATAAGTCTTTCCAATAACACCCTGTAAAAATAAAATTTCATATTTAAACAAATGGAAGTCATCATAAGAGTTAATAAAGCAATATTTAAATTTTAATGTATATCAGTTTGTTAATAAAACGAACAGAAAAATAATTTTTAAACCAATCTTAACTTTTTAATTTAGGCATCTTTCAAAATTAAGAAGTAAAAATTAAAATTCTGATAAGTTTTAAATCATAATACATATATATGTCCTGTTTTTTATATTTTCTTTTCATTTTCAATCATAGATTCTTAATTCAGATATTTTAATTGTAGATAAAAGTGATACTGGTACTGGTGGGGGAACTAGTCCGGCCACATGGTCCTTTTTGCCAACCCCTGATGGCAATCTTGAGAATACTGAATCCCAGGGGCCATTTCAGTGATTGTTTTGTGACAAAGCTTGTCTGACACATCTGCAACTCTTTTTTGGTCATATTATAAAATTTGTTGATTTAAGTTTTTCCAGTTAGTTTGTTTCTTTAGTTTTTAAAAGACTTTGAAGAGATCAAATGAACATACTACATACATCAGGTATACTATACCTATACACTCACACATATATATGGATATAGAAACAGAAAATAAACTTGATTTTGGGACGATTGTTCATTGTTGTCCCCTTAGAATAACAACAATGAACAGTTAGAAAAGAAAAAATACATATCTGGCCAAAAACTAACTTAATAAAGATTCAAACAATATATACAACAGCTTAAATAATAGTATGTAAACAACTAAAAAATAAAATAAAATCTTCTGAACTATACTCAATTGTATACTCAACTATAATTGTACTGGAAAAAAAAAGAAAAAAAGAATACATGTACAGATAGAAATAAAAAGCAAAACCTCCAGAAAAGAAAAAAGATCAAAAGTACATAAATAAAAAATATTGACTTGTTATGTTAAAACCCAAACAGCTAAAACATACAAGATATATTAATGACAGAAGATGAGCAACGAGATCACAATATTGCATTATCCCAGCATAAGAGATATAAAATAAGAATAAATAGATAAATACAATCAGATAGGGCCATTAAATTAATTTTATGAGAAAACGATTGTGACAAAAAAAAAAAAAACTGATTTAAAGAAAATAAATTATTTATATATGTTATACAATACACAATGGTATTGTTAACTATAAAAAAAACATGTATATTAAGGATAGGAAAGAATATATATGTATACAAATTGAGGAATATAAGAAATGAAATACGTCTAAAATATACACAATCTTGTAGATAGAAAAATGGTAAAAAACAATGAACAATCTCTTATTTTTTATGCATCACCGCAGAATGCTATGCAAAAAGTGATACTGAATCTTTCCAATTCATAAATAATAAAGAAAAAAAATTATCCGTGTTAAATAATACATGATTAACTAGCATCTGATTAGATTGTGAAGAGGTATTGGAATAAGAGGGTTTTGAATGTGGACAAGGATAGTGCATAGCGGATTTTAAGTGGGACAGAATTCCAAAAAGTGGAAGAGCAGTCAATGAAGGAATATTGAAATGAAGCAGATCTATGGAAAGGGGTGGATAGATGATTTAAATCGGAAAAGATTGTATACATAGGACAGACGATGGTTGTTGATTGTTTGGTAAAGGAAAGTGCCAAGGAAGTATTGTCTTCTGAAGGAGGGGAAGAGCCAGCCTAATTGGACATAGTAGTGAGAAACACGAGAACGTCTCGGGGTCCCTTCGACAAATCTTACTAAGCTACTCATAATTCTTTATAGTCTGTCCCCGAGTTCCACTGAGAAGCCATCATACAACACGCAGTTGTAGTCAAGGTGGGGAAAGATGAGGTAGGATACTATATACATATGTGTATTAAAATTAAAAGGAGTACACCAGGTATTTTTCATTTATTATTTATTTTAATATTTGTCTGATGGTCTATTTTTTTATTTAATTTATTTTTTCATATTTTCCAACTACAAGTATCGTCTGGTTATAACCAGACAGTAAACTACATTGAGATATTCGCTTGAATTCATAATATTATCCTGGTTACCTGCAATGTAAGTGGCTTCATTTTTTTTTATGGGCCTGAGTTTGATTTATGAAAGATTATGTTTTTTTTTAACTGTAATTAAATCCTATCTCTTGGAGTTATTTAGGGATAGTTTAGCACGAGCATATATCCATAATAAATGGAGGAAAGCAAGGGCTTGCTACATATCTAAGCCTGGGAAAGTCTTATGACAATCCCAAAGCATACAGACCTATTTATCTGACTTCTTTTGTGTTGAAGGCATTGGAAAAGATTATGGATAGACAAATTAGGGACTCTACATTAGTAGAAAGACCACTACACTTAATGTTGTAAAAAAGCTCGGTGAGAAGGCTATAAGGCTTAAGCCAAAAAGACTCGAATTTGGGAGGAAGGAAATGAAGGGAGAGATGGTATTTTAGAAATATATTCACATTGTTACAACTAACAGAAAAAGTTTATTTGTTTACATAAATGTACAACTTAATTTTTTTTTTTTTAATTAATTCATCTAGGCTAGAACTCTATGAGTCTTTAACTCGAGCTTTAGAAGTTCGAGGTTTACAGGTTCTAGAGCCGATTCTTCATGACTCAAGCTTTTACGACTCGAGTCGAAGCTCGAGGCTTGTTTTTACAACATTAGCTCGCTTGATCTCTAGAATCGAGAAAAGCTTATCGCAGAAAGAGATTATGGCAGGTATCTTTGTTGATATCGAAGGTGCCTTTGATCATACCCACTATGACAGAATGGCTAGAGTATTGAAAAGTAGAGAGATCGGTTGGACTCTTGGCTTCAGAATGGATTTATTTGGTTCTGAGGGGCAGTCCTTAAATCTGAGCTGGGACTTTTTTTTTTTCTTGTTCTTCCCTACCTCGCCTTTTAGGCTATATCGGACTTTCCCAAGCTGAGGGGGTGAGGGTGGGGAATTTAAAATCCCTTCCGGCACCGGGAAGCAAGCTCGTACTTTTTTTAATCTCATAACTTTAGTTATCTGGTTGCTGGGCAACTCACAGTGCTATGCACACGCGTTAGTTTATTCGTCCACCCAGCCCCCATCTGAGCTGGGACTATCTGCACTGTGGTTTAAACCTGTTGGAGGGTGTCCACAGGGGTATGTTATCTCCACTCGTCGACTCTCTGATTGTTAAATTGAATGCGGCAGAGTTTTATTCTCACGGATATGCTGACGATACTGCAGTACTGACAGGGAGCAAGTATCCAGATACTATCTCTAGACTGCCTGAAAATACTATGAGATTTCTGAAAGAATCGTGTCAGGAAAATGGCCTTGGCTCTAGAAGATAAATCTATGTATCTTCACTAACATAAGGAATATTAACATTAGACCACCATCATTAAATAGGCCAACATTAAATATTTGTAGTGAAGTAAAACATTTTGAAATCACTTTAGATAGTACGTTCTGACTAAATCCTGTTAAAAAGATTAATGGTAAGGCTATACGCTGTTTATGGGTGTGCAGAAGAGTTGTTAGAAAATCGTGGGGCTGAAACCCAGCATGGCCTTAGTCGAACTGCGATTAGATTCTTAATCCAAAATAAGATTGTAGTGTGGTGGCATAGGGCAGCTCCAAGCAGGTCTAGAATGCTGCTTGACAAGCTTCAAAGGCTTGCATGCCTTATGACGACGGGAGCTATGAGCACTACTCTCACTACTGCAATGGAGGTTCTTTTGAATCTAACACCATTGCATTTAGAGGTAGAAGCACATGCTCTCAAAACTGCCTATAGATTAAATAAACTGGGAAAGAGATCGAAATTCCTGACATTTCAGTGTCATGGTATCGTTTTCGATAGGATTGATAGCAATGAGGTACTTACGATGAACTCTGACCTTCAAGTCAATAATTATAAAGATATACTATATAATTATTATAAAGATATACTATATAATTTGAACATAAGCAGGAATTTATCACATAGACCATGTAATGGAGTTAACTGTTATACTGACGGCTCCTTATTGGAGCAGGGATTAGAGACTGGCATCTGGAGAAAGGATAAACCCAATGAGGGAATATTCATATCTCTCGATTTCTGTGCCCAATCACTTATGAAGGAGGGCATTGTGAATTGGTTGATAACAATATACACTGATAGTTAAGCGGCAATAGGGGCCCTTAATAGCTATGCAAGTCGCTCAAAGTTGGTGAAAGAATGTAAGGCAATCTTAACCTTCTTTATAGTACTAACAAGGTGAGGGTAGAATGGGTACCTGGGCACTCAGGCATTCCAGGAAATGAGGAAGCTGATTACCTTGCTAGGAAAGGCTCTGCACAAGTGCCAGTTGCAGCAGGGCCTATTTGTGGGAATAGCCTTGGCTTTGCCAAAAGGTATATTAAGGCAATCATGGGCAATAAATGCATCCTCCATTGGGAACAGACTAGGAAACAAACTCATTCCAAGTTATTCCTAGTAGGTCCGTCCTGTCATAAGAGAAGTAATTCATTTCTTCTAATGGACAGGAGTACTATTAGGCATGTGAGAGGACTGTACACTGGAACTTAAGAACTAGAATATATAAAACTTTCCTACCTACAGTTCTTTATGTATGCGAAACGTGGCTACTTACATTAAGGGATGATAAACGTGTTAAGGTTTTTGAAAACAAAGTATTGCGTAGAACATTTGGACCAAAGAATGATGTGTTAATTGAGACCTCAACCTGCAAGATGAAACGGCTTATCACATTATTTGTAGATGTGATAACTTGACTAGACTGCGATACTTTCACTTTGGATATGATCGTATCACTGACCCTAAGCACTGTGAACTGATTGATTCTATTAGTATTAACAGGTTTGCAAAGGCATCTGGCCTGTTTTAATTGAGTCTAGGATGACGCAAAATTGACCTTTTTGAGGCCGCGGTGCACTGTTATCTTGGAACAAAAAAACAACATTTAAATCTAAAAAACAACAACGATCTAACTAGTCACGACCAAATCGGTTCTTCTCAATATTCCACTATTAGACTAAGAACCACACACAATTTCATTTAACGTAAGGACTTATAGATAGTAACCATTTAAAAATTTTAGATAAAAGTCATCTGAACATACAACTTCGGTCAGTCAGTTGAAAGCAGTTGCTTTCTATATGAAAATTTAAATCAACGAGGTCATTTAACATAAGAACTGACACCTGAAATTTTGATATGATGTAAAGAAAATATCCCTAAAAGAGAATTCACCTTGACCAACAACCAAAATAATCCAATTATGCTAGTCGGATGAGGAAAAAAATGAAATAGTGGCTTTCTCTTCTGTTTTTTATATTTTTTTGGGATGCTGAATCTGAATTTGATGTTCTCGAACGAAATTTTCCATTGCGTATTGAGATATATGAAAAAAACATCGAAAATATTATCATATACAATGTTAAAGAAGATAAACTTTATTATCAATTTTATACCAATCTTTCTGATTCAGGACCAACGGATGAGGAGTAAGAGAATGTTGACTGTTTTTATTTTTCACAAGAACTCATAATCTATCATCTATCGAAGAAATTCAATAAAATCAATTTGAAAGAGCATTAAGTTTTGTATGTACCTCATGTAAACCCGTTAATATGTAAGAAGATTAAGTGGCTGTTAAAGCTCGCAGAATCGAAGGCATATTTCCCTTGTAGTATCTGTCGCTCTCAACTTAAACACTTTTTATCAATGCTTTTGATTCGGCTAATTTAACTATTTTATAACACAACTGGAATGTATAAACAAAGTAAATAGGTTTTATATATTCTGTTAGTATGAGAGACTCCAATATGCATAAAAATTATGCAGGTATTCTGTGCCTTTGCTTTTTTTGTTCTTTTGCTAAGAATTTAGCAGTTCAATAACAGCGCCAAGACCACTGAGCTACCAACGTTCTGATGAGATTCCTATGCATTTATAGCCAGAGGCTAGAACCTAGCAAGACAGAGATTGCTTACCAAGTAGCTGTTCTCTCTAGCCCACTATACTCTAGTTATCACTCGTATTATTATAGTCACCTTAGTCAATGTTCATAAGGTTAATAATTGTTCACCTCCAAAAAAATATGTTTATAAGTTTTCATCGTAATACATGTAGTGGAAAGTTGACAATTGGCTAGACTACCCAACCTCAGCCATATACATATATCTAACACTGCGCTCTTAGCAGTTAGCCTGATATAACGACTTTGAAAATTAATACCTTTTAAATGAAAGATCATAGAATACTCTGGTTTTCATAAAAATGTTTTTTAATACTTACAGAATAATGGGGAAAAATATGCATATTGCCCATTGACTATGTGAAATTAAAAGCTTAGTTGCGAACAATGCAATAATTTAATTACAGTTATTAATAATAATTATTTATTAAATGCTACAATATAATACTAACCTTGTAATCTGTTCTTGAATAGCTTCAGTGTTAGCTTCAGCAAATAAATACAAAAGGGTACAACTGAAGTAATGAGTATGACTATTTGGGTAGCGCAGTTGATTTGCAATAGCATTCAAAAATAAATAACGCCCTAGAATCAAATAAAACATTTAATTATTTAAATTGTTACAGCTATAAAGAAAATTGTATGTGATAAAACTAAAAAACAAAAAAAGTATTTATTAAAAAATCAAAGATATTATACTTATTTCTTTTATATCTTCTCATTTTCTTATAAAAATGGGAAATAATAAATTTAATTATTTATTCTTATTTATCAATTTCCAAATTTCAATCTACTCTGACCTAAACGGTAGCTTTCTAGTAGTACAATAATAGAAAAGGATCAAACTAATATCTCAAAGTAACACAAAAACTTAATGAAGTTTGGTAGAGTGGATTTTTTTATGTCAGTTCAAACTTCAAGTAAAGTTTAGTAGTCTGCTCTCAAATCATAGCAGTATTCTATGAAAAAAGATGAGAATTGAACAAAATTGTAATTTTTAAATTTTTACCATTCCAGATTGATGGCATGAATGGTTACTCATGTGTGAAAACAGTGAACATATAACTTATAAAATTTAATATCTCCGTTCTGTAGATTTCTTTGTGTGGCAATTTGAAAAAATATCTTTCTAAAAAGTCAAATCAAATATTGATCACCTGAAAAGCAGTGAATTGTTGGATTCATAATAATACTGATGATGTAAGTCAAAATGATCATACAGAAAATGCTGAGGAGCCAAAATAGGTTACATATATTACATATTGTGTCAATATATAATGGTACATATTCTAGACGATACACCTAATAATATTTAATATATTTAAATTTTTAACAACAAAAAAAAGCTTTAATTATAAAATCCTGAGAAATTAGTGAACCCTGGTGCCATCGGTCTGTCCCACTCCATGTGGATTTTAGTAAGTGTAATTAACAAAAAGAAAAGTGAACATGAATTTTGATAGGTAGAATACATTTTTTTAAAAGTAATTAAATTGCTATCTTATGTGGTAAAAAATTAATTTTAGATTTTGTCAACAAACGGTATGGAAGACAGATAGAGGATTAACTTTACATAGAACCGGCTGTCTGTTTTTGCAGCGATCTCTAGTGGCTTTCATCTTAACTATGTGCTCTCGTTCTCGCGCAGTCATTTAAATTAGACTCCACCCCTTGTCCTACATTTAATGCTAAAATGTGTTTTAAATTTATAAAAAAATTATGTTTTGTGGGCTTAAATAAGTAGGGAAAAAGGTACAAAGGACAGAGTGGTTGACATATATACATATATATTTTACAATTTTTTTTTATAATTCGATCTTAATATATTATAAGTTAACATATGAATTATAGTCGGATAATCGGTCATGAAATACACTTAGATGACTTAAAACAACTTCTGTTTATTCCATTTTTTCAAAAACGTTTCGGTCCCTGTTTTTTAACATAAATAATGGGATCCTCTTAAGTTTTTAAATTGAGCATCGATACTCCAAGCCGGGCAGCACGCTGACAGACCCAACAGTACCGCCACAAGGACATCAAGCTACTTTTTAAGATGTGTGTCCTTTAAGAAGGAAGGCATCTCGGGCAGCATGGCTTTCCTTGGTGTGGGCGGTCCCCCATCGAAGTGCTGACCACGCTCGGCGCTGCTTAACTTTGATTACCTATTGCAAGTGCCTTAGCCCGCATGGCTACGCCAGCCTCCTACAAATATGTATATATATATATATATATATATATATATATATATATATATATATATATATATATTCGTTCGACTGATTAGGACTTTTTATTTTATTTTTTTAGAAGTATATATATATACTTCTAAAAAAATAAAATAAAAAGCCCTAATCAGTCGAACGAATTTGATTTGTACATCAAGGAGATTCCTGTTCCTATTTTCTGAACTCGTCGGAAACATATAATCGGAAAAAGTAAGAAACCAGGCCAATGTTGAGTTTTCAAATAATAGTAGGCACTAATAAGTAAGGAAATTAACACTTAATTATGTTCAAACTTTATGCAATAGTAAACTGACCCGAAATCAAAATGTTTTGCATAGTCTTGCCTAGTTTAACAATTTTGCCAAAGAAACGTTGAATTCACTCAGACATTTGTGTATACGTAGGCGTATATATAGACAATAGGATATATATTGCTGACACTTGTACAACAGTACCTACACCGCTAGATCCTATACTATACCGGTCCAACAGTATATATATATATATATATATATATATATATATATATATATATATATATATATATATATATATATACACACCGTTGGACCGCTGAGGGGATCATCTTCAAGACTCGTATCTTCAGAATGAAACTTGGCAAACCATTTTTGAGCAGTACATTCTGTTAAGGGTTAGTCCCAGAATACCTTACATATTTTTCGGTGGACCTCCGAAGCTTGCTTGTCTCTTTTGAAATAAAAAAGCAAAATATACTGTGAATGCACTTTATCATTAGACATTTTCACTACGCTGTAGCACAAATAAAATTAATGTCAATGAAACCAAACAACAGTTTCGAAGACCTTTCAGATAAGTGTCATTATAGTCAGATAAGGCAAAGAGAACTGGAGATATTTGAAAACAAACCGCACTAACAAAAACCGAACGAACTTATGGATCCATCCAATATAAAGCTATAATAAATTAATTTTCTTAACATGGACTCTTTCTTGAGCTACATCTAAAGTCAACTCCGGCTGACTTTACCCAGCGTTACACATCGGAGATCTGACGGCTCAATCTAATTCCATTAAAAAAGTGTATAACATACCAAAAGATTATGATTGTTAATTAATTCTACAAGTCACTCTCTTTTTATCTATCTTTCTTTCATTTTCTTTAAATAACACACTGAATGAAGTATATCCCATGGAAAGAATTTTAATTAAAATAGTTATTAGTATATATACATGTAATTAAATTATATGTGTCCTAGAAACTAACCTTCGGTATCGAGATCTACAGCCAAGTTTTGAAATATATCCATATGAGCTGAATGCGCAATTGTTGACATATTAGGAGTGAGGCCCTTCTTCCTAATATATTGAATTGCCTCAGTACCAACATACAGCACAAGGGCATTCATCAAGGTAATATTATATCTAAGACCTGGCTCATTCGAAACCTGTAGATTGCTTCTCAGGTCTGAGAGAAATGTCACAGGAGCTCTAGCTTTTAGATATGTATCTAATTCCTGAAAGAGTAAAAAAAAAATAATACAGGAATCATATGGAGTATTATACATATTATTAAATTGGTTATATATATATTAATTTAAAAAATAGTTATTTTAAATTTATGTCTAGTCAACTGGGTACTTGCATGGAAAAATCTGGTTCGGTGCATGCATCACACATCTTTCACTTACCACCCACTTGAGCAGAAATAGGTCTTTCCATACAGTGAAATTTCAAACTGTACAACATATATTATTTAAAACAATTGATTACTATATGTTTTTCCTGCCCCTCTTATCTATTTTGTAATTATGCAATTATTTGTCATTAACCATTTCTTTCTACAACTGTATGTTTTAATTATTCATTTAATCATATTAAAAAATTAAGTGCCACAATTTTTTTTAGTCCGACATGAGTGTCAGTGATAAAGGCCACTATATATTTAATAATATTTCATTGTGGGTATTTTCGTATGTTTAAATACTGATAAAAAGCAAATTTTATTTTTATATTGCTGTAATCTATACATTAAGTATTAAATAATACCAGACCTTCTGTTTATGGATACCACACAACATTCATCTAAAATAAGTCTTATTACGCACATGTCATGTTTGGAAGCCTGTCTTAATAATTCACCAAGATCAAGTCCATGCTTGGGTTTCTTCGGCAGTTCTCGGACCCAAATTACCTTATTTCTATGAGCTTGTGCTCAAGTCCCTTAAGCAGTTTTCGCCCCCTCATTACCATTCCTAATTCTTTCTTTAGTTAATTCTTAAATTGAATACTTAATAGTTGACCGTTGCATTATTAAGAAAGGAGATGGTCCGGGATGGTGGTCATAAATAGACTAAATAGTGGCAAAACTAAATAAAATAGTTTTGCCACTATTTAGTCTATTTATGACCACCATCTTGCACCATCTCCTTTCTCAATTCTTTAATATTGTATATTAAAGCATTTTTATAGCAGATTACAACATGAAATGGTTAATAATTTGAAATAAACAAAATTAAAGATGCTTTAGAGAGGATGAAATTTTGAAAATTAGAAATTTAAGCCATGTCACAGTATTTCAATTATTTCATTTAGAGAATCCAGTTTTATTTTAACTTTATTTTTTACTATTAAAAAATTAAGTTAAAATGTTTAGTGTTAAGTGACAAACTGAATCAGGTGAAGATATGCAGTTGGAAGAGGACACCAGCAGTTAAAGGTTGAACTGAATTTTAAATGTCGATTTCAGTCAAGAAAAGATCCTAAGAACTGTCACACCTTACGTTTCACACATAGATTCTATGATCCCAAAGAGAAAATATGTGGAAGTAAAATAATATTTTTAGGGGATCCATTTTTTTTTTTTGTATCTGAATGTAAATTTTAAGTAGAAAATATCAAAACTGTATAAATGGAAATTATTATTATCTTCGAATATGAGAAGTGATGATCTATATAAATAAAAATGTTCGTTTATTCATTACCACTAATCTCCTCCTTGAAATTTTGACACAATGTTGCAATTGAATTCAGGAGTATTCTTAACTATTTAACATTATCATCCGGTCCTTTGTTTTGAAATGGTGGCCAAAAACATATGTCACTATAGACTAATGCCAAAATGGCTATAAAGATTTTAATGTACGTGTAAAGCCTTCTTCCTGAAGCCCTTTAGATTTATGTATATAACATACTTCCTCATAAAAAAACTGGAAAAAGTTATGAATGTAAGAGTTTCCCATTGAAAAGCATTCAACTGGAATTAACAGTCCTATTAATCTCGTATCTTCATAAATCGAAGATGCTGTAGAAAACAACACACTTCTTCCTCTGCATTTTTTAATCATCTAATTGCGTATTTCGTCCAGCACTTTATTATTTTTGAACTGGGAGATGATTTCAATATTTACTTCCATTGCCGGAAGAATCTCTATTTTTATAAAATCCTTCATTTTACCTAGTTCAATGCTAATAACCACATAAGATCTTCTGAAATGACCTGCCCATCTCTCCAATATTTCTTCGTTGTCACCTAGAAAGTTTCTGTTCTTATCTTTGATGAAAATTCCTCTAGGACGAAAACCTGCTCTAGTATTATTTGAGAAAATAATACAAATGATAAAATGAATGTCTTGAGAAACAGTCAATTGGGTAAGGTGTTAGGCATAGTAGGCTGAATAAACCTGGATTTAAGCATACTAAAGTTTAATTAAATGTATTCTATTTTACAGTTTTATAACTGTTTCAACTTTGAGATTTAGGATACTAAACTCTGAAAAAAAATTACCTTTTTAAAAGAAGGAGGTTGAATCATCAGAGTGAATTCCGTTAAAACCCTTGGTGCATTAGATATTTCAGAAAGCATATCAACTTTTAGATTTGGTGTGAATGGATCTGGCAATCTCATATTTCTAGGAAATGCTGATAAAATGAGATTACGCATCTAAAATGAAAAGAAAAAGTGTTAATTAGTTAATAATCATGATATTTAAAAAAAAAAACAATGAACTTTTTTTTGCATATCAACAAGATGATAAGATTCAAATACATAAAATAAATTTAAAATATTAATTTTTTTAATATTATTATCAGCAGTAAATTAAATATAACAAAACGGTACTTCTTCACTAGCAAGCCGGGACTGACTGCTATCTGCCAATGTTTATAACCTGAACACTGATAATTCTGATAAGGCAGTGATAAGCCTTCTCGTAATTCCTATCTTCGTATTATTGTACTATATTCGAATTATTGAAAGTGTAAACAGAAACAAAAACAAATGCAATAACAAAAAAAAAACTTTTATTTTACGACAAATATATTAATGAAATAATAAAAAAAACACTTAAAGAAGATATGTAAATATAAAAGATCAAAATGAAATAATAAAAAAACACTTAAAGAACATATGTACAATTTATTTTCACTTTGTCTTATTTATTTCGGTAGGCAAAATAGTTTTATGCTATTTAAAATAGCGAGGAATGGGTCCTCTTCAGCTGCTCTTTGCCCCACTTCATCATTGTTAAATTATAGGACCACCCATAAATCAATTTTAAAGCCGTTAAAAACGAAATTCTCGAGCCCTCCAACCATGTTCCTTTCCGTATTGAAAGTTTTATGTCACAAGTGCTACGACAACATCTCCATTTGGCTTTCCTGGGCAACTTCATTAGATGACCTCGTTCACACAATTTCACCTCTGCAAGTATCCCAACGTTTTGAAAATATTCAATAGCCTGTTCTTCCGAAGACGGTAAATCCCAGAATGTAACAAGATTCATAATTTGACAAAAATAAACTTAAAAAAAAAATAAATAAACACAAACGGGCCAAATATAAAGAAATAATTAAGTGAACATAATAAGAGAATAACTGAAAAATAAACAATGTAATAACTGAAAGGTTTGGCGGAATAAGAAGAAGGTTATGTGACGTGACGTTAGATAACATAGATAAGAAGTGAGGTTCGACCCGTCCTACTAGTGAAGTAGTGCCAACAAAACAAAACCTGCAGAATAAAAAAAAAAATACACTGATAGAAATTTTGGATGTATATAGTAGGATAACTACTTTGGAAAAAAGAAAGAAACTAACTACTTATATGAAATGGTGTTTAAGTGATTCTTAAGCTCTATTAAATGTAATTAGATGAACAATAATACTTTTAGAGATTTTTTTTTCTCCATAAAACATGATTATATTTTACCATGGATGAATCCCGAATTAACAAAAATGAGACTAGCTGGCACTAGTTGGTCCAGCCATTAGGAATTCAGTAATAAACTTTAACCCAGTACTGAAGAGATTGATATATGGTTAACTATTAAGATGATAAATAATCAGGGTTTGCAGTCTTTATATGGTTTATAATGACAATTAATTGAAAACAAAAATAATTGTAGAAAAAGCTAAAAATATTAAACAAACTAAAGATTGCAAACCCTGATGATTTACCACCCTCTTAAGTTTATTACATGTTAGAAGTAATTTGTATTTCATATATTTGATCCTAAATCTGGCACACCAATTCAGTCAAAAAACTGTTCCAAGATGTTTGGAATTGAAATTTAAGATAAATTATAAAAAGAAAGTTTATATTCTAATGAAGTTGTGAAGTTTTTTGTATCTCTTGTAAAGTTGGAAAAATTGAGTTAGGTGGTTTTAGAATTTATATAATGAAATAATTAAAAATAGTAATTTTTCAGCTTACTTTCATTAATTAAAAATCACTTGTGAAATTACTAACAGCAGGGCTTAATTCCATATTCTGAAAATATAATAAATAAATAACATAATGCAGCATAAAGTGCTGTTACCTGTATACAATTAGGAGGTATGGCATCACAGAATCCGTAGTGGTAATCACAAAGGAACTCCGGAAAATCGTGAAGTAATACCAAAAGAACTCTGAGCGTGCCTTTGTATAAAACTGTCACGGGCTTGGCAAGTTCTGCATTTCTTAAGAAAGGTGCCAGATATTTGAACAGATCTACTAACAGTTGCGCATACATGACCCATCCCTGAAAGCATAAGATTGCTCAAATATTGAAATATGAAGTTTAAAAAAAAAAAAAAATGAATAAAGAATACAAGAAAAACTAAATTTAAAATTACTTAGTAGAATAACATATAACATTATAGAAGAAATTATTAATAAATTAATAGTAATCAAAGATATTTAAAAAGTGCACCTTCTGATTAGGGGTGTGACCCAGCATTTTTCCAAGAAATATGCGGTGAGATACCAATTCTAACCAAGCATAAGAAAAACCAGGCGATTTGGACGGTCTAAGGATGTGAAGGGTATGGAAATATGCTGTCAATATCTGAAAGCGAAGAGGCATATTATTATCAATTTATTTATGCTATACCTCATGATTAATTTGCATCAAGTTTTAATACAAATGTTACCTGGAAATTTATTGCATCCAAAATTGGTTCAGTACCATTCAATTCTAGAAAAAGCATAATAAATATCCTTTGGTAAGGTAACTGTTGAAATTCAGTTTGGTGTGTTTCATGATCTTGCTGTAATACACCTGCAACTATTCCCAAAACTTTGTTCAAAAGATTAATTTTTGTCTGACTGTTATTTGCATCTCCAGAATGTTTGACAAGAAGTGAAATTAGTTTTACATAGGCATCGACAGTGTGAAACATTTTATTCCTAACCGCTGTTGCGGAAGTTCCAGTCACATCGGGAAGAAGCCTATAACATAGTTCCACTACCATCTGTGTACTCAAGCGAAAAAATCTAGTAATCAAATCATCTGTTTTTAATATTCCATGACAATTCATCTAAAAAAAAAAAAAAAATAAAGATAAATAAAATAACATAATAAAATTAAAGTAAATAAATACAATTCAGTTAGTATTCATAAGATGGCACAGAGTATAATAGGTACTCATTATAACTCAAGTCATTAGCAGTAGCATTGCAGTAACCTAGGTCGAGGACACAGAGGGAGGTCAACATCCAAAGGAAGCACCTTACCTGCTGCCTAATTCCTAAGAAGTCTTTTTTCCTCCAGATCAAAAATACTTCACACCAAAAATAATAATAATAATAGGCTTAGCGAACCCGAAGGTTCGATGCCGACACCACCAATCGCTTATTACACACCTCCCTTCACCGTTCGTCGTCCAAACCCAGTCTCTTCAGATCGGCTTTAATGCAATCTTCCCACATTCGCTTCGGTCTACCCCTCGGGTGTTTCCTATTCGGCACAGCAAATATTAACCTTTTAGGAATTCCCTCGTTACTAAGCCCAACAACTTTACAAGCCCATTTGATTCGCCGCAATGAAATTATTTCAATTATATTACCTGGATGCAGTTCATGCAATTCGGCATTGTGTAACTGTCTGAACTCTCCGGTTAACCCATCCTTCTTCGGTCCGAATATTCTACGCAATACTTTATTTTCAAAAACCTTAAAGACGCTGCTCATCACTTAATGTAAGCGGCCAAGTTTCGCATCCATAAAGAACTGTAGACAAGATAATTGTTTTATAGATTCTAATTTTTAAGTTCTGGAACAAGAGGCGCAACCTAAGTAGTTTGTCACAGAAAAATAGCAAGCATTTCCCGCCTTCAGTCTAATCTTAATCTCTTCTTCAATTTCGTTTTTTCTAGTTATCGTAGCACCTAGATACCTAAATTTATCTACCTGTTCAAACAAATTACCATCTATATCGATATCACCAGTAGTATCGCCATTTTTGCAGCTAACCATATATTTTGTTTTATCCACGTCTATTTCGAGTCCTAGTTCTTTACCGGCTTTCATTAACGTTGTCGTATTTAGTTTTATAGTTTCAACTTCTACGCTTAACAGTACCAGATCATCCGCATAGCCCAGCAGGGATGTTGTCCCACCCGGATCCTACCCTTTCTCGGTACGCATTACCTCCCTAATGGCATGTTCTAATGCCAAATTGAACAGGACAGGCGAAAGGGAATCCCCCTGTTTTAAACCCGAACAAACCTCAAATTTTTCGGACAGATTATTACCGATTCTAACTTTATTGAGTGTCTCCGTCAAGCACATCCAGACTAGATTTACTATTTTTTTAGGAATCCCCTGCTTGATTAGAATATTATACAGTTTCTGGCGATCAATAGAATCGTAAGCCTTTTTAAAATCTATATACAGCTGGTGAACAATAGCGTTGTACTCCAATTTTTTCTCTAATATTTGCCGTAAAGAAAATATTTGATCAATAGTCGAACGATTCCGTCTTCCGTGATTCGACTGGTTAAGATTAAAGTGAATATTTTATAATATACTGGAAGGAGTGAAATTCCTCGATAGTTATTACAATCCGTCCTCGTGCCCTTTTTGTTAATCGGAATAAGAATAGATTCTTTCCATTCTTCAGGTAATTTCTCATTCATCCAGATCTTTTTAACCAACCGATGCATTTTAGAAACTCCAGCTTCCCCGCATGCCTTAATTAGTTCAGTAGGAATATTATTGTTTCCTGCTGCTTTATAAGATTTTAATTTTCTGATAGCTACTTCAATTTCCTCTTTCACCAAAAATATTAATCACAAAATGGTGATGACCAGATATTAATTTCAATTATAAAGGTTGATAAAAAAACCAATAAACTATTGAATTTATTGAATTGAATTGAAGTTATTGAATTTAATTAATTACAATCCAAGAGTGAACTATTGTGCAAAATTATCCAACTATCATTTCCACCCTCTTCTCAGTTGCTTTACCTAAATTTAAATTTCAAACTCATAGATTTCAATACTCAAAACTTATTGCTTATTACAAGTGGACCTACGGAACTTATCAAGTAATCTTTTATAATTTTAAATAATGAATATGATCTTATGTTATAAGGTAAAGTAACATATTGTGAAGACAATATCAAAATACAGAGGTAGTGGTATGAATGAGAGTTAGAAGAAATGGCAAATATCAGGGGAAAAAAAACAAAAAAGAAAAGAAAAAAAAAACTAGAGATGGTGATTGTTGGTTTTAATTATGATTACAAACATTAAGATTAATAATAATCTACTAACATTATTACTCCACATCTTTTATCAATCTTCAATAAATATTTCATTCTTACAACACAATTTAAATTATGAAGCATAGCCATTATTTGTAGTAACATACTATTAGTATCAGTACAATTTAAATTGTTCCTACTACTTATATTTATTTTTTCATCTTCCACATAATTTTACTAAACTCATGAACTATATAATTTAATCCCGACATACTTTTACTTCCCATACAACTACTGTTAGAGTTTTCGGATTGTCTATTTTCATCACGTAGGCTTTGTACAATTGACTTCCTTCTTTTCCACAATAACAAAATCCCCATTAATTTCTCAAGAATTACATTATTAAGATCTCTACCTTCCATTATTTCTCTCTTGTTATTCTCCATTTAATAAAAAATTATTAATAAAAAACTATACAGTTAAAACAAATTGTTTATGTGAGTTGTGATCTGATTTCTGATTGCCGTGACCTAATTTTTAAAGGCCCCACGTTGGACTCCAAAATGTAACATCTCTCTTATATTTTACAAATAATAATACTTGAAGGAAGTTAGCAGATTGTTCTACATATCATGGGTGATAAATATTCAGGATGCAGTCTTTTTTAAATTTTTTTTATTTTTGCCAACGTTTCAACTCAAACATGTGGGTCATCTTCAGGGCGTGGCTTGAGCACTGAGGGTGTTTAACTACTCGTCTTTTTAAAAAATACTGCGTTCTGAATATTTATCACCTACAAATAATAATAATACCTCGGAAGATCACTTTAATACTATTGGGATACTTCCAGAAATAAGAGTTAATTAAATAATAAACAAAATTAAGAGTATCAATATATTAAATTGAAATTTATAATTATTTAATCTTGGGTATTATTATTGGTTTTTCCTTTCTGGGAAAACTACAGAGTAGCCATTTTCTTTTCCCTGAACTAGTAGAACTAAATTAGGTTGCCTTTTAATTGTTCAACATTAATTTATTAAACCCTTTTTACTCATTTCCAATAAAGGTGTACATTACAATATATGTATATATAATGTATATTATAAAAATTATTTTTTGGGCAAATTTTTAAATTGATAGAGGTAAAATTTTTTTTCTTCCACATTAGCGATATTTGAGGATTAATATCTGGGAAATTAAGCAAAATAGTGAAACATGGTATATAATCAATCATATTGTCATTCAAAGTGAATTCTTTTTTTAGGGACATATTCTTTACTTACATCATATCAAAATTTCAGGCGTCTTTCATTTAAATTTTCCAATAAAAAGCAATTCAGATTTATCTAGAATTTAATTTGGTTAGCCTTCCTTATAAAGTTCTTTCCTTAAATGAAATGGTCAGTAGCTCATAGTCTATATCAGCGCTAAGTCAGATTTTACTTGAAATTACTAACGAATATTTAAAATCAAAACGTGATGCTCTAAATGAATCTTAAACTAGTATTTCCCGAGGAGGGTTACAAAGATTCTGTTATCGACATATTGTACAGAAAAAAAAAAAAAATTAGCTGTTTAACTGCCAGCATTCTCCTTCAGTTAACCAACGAATGGTTTCTAATGGTTTAGCCGCCATTTGGTGAGAATTATCATGACTCTGACATATTTAACATCGTAAAACGCAAATTTCTTTTAACAAGTTGATGCCCGACTAGACTTGTTTTAAGATTGACTATTATTGTAATGGGTGTTCGCCTAGAGACAGAATTACCGTTAAGAAGTTCATTACAGATAGTTAATAGTATTGGTATATTAATATATATTGGTTCTTATTAAAAAAAAGCCCTGACTTTCCTATTTTTCAGGTCAGTTTTGCCATCCTGATCAAAGTTTCTAAATTGACATCTTGTTTCAGCTATACTATTGCGGCTTGCATGTGCTAAGTTTGCAGTGTGTGAAAAGCAATATTTCCTATTTTATCAAATAAAGTATGTGGCGCAAGATATTTTTTTATGCTGAATTGTGCAGTGACATTAGTTTTTCAAAAAAATGTTCATGTTCTGAATAATCAATGTTAATATAGCAAAAAATAAGGAGGAAAAAACAAAAAACACAAACATACATATTTATTTTAATTATTTTTTATATAGAGATATAGGCATAATTTTTAGTTTTTCTCAGTTAAACCAATTTTTTTTATACTAAAAAAAGCAGATACCTACAGCTCTTTGTTGCATAGGACAAAACAGAAAAATATATTTAAAATCAGAGAAAAAAAAACTCAGTTTGCTTTAACTTACATCTTATTTAGGCATGGATATCAACTCAAGACAAAATATTGATTTTTTTACTGTACACAAAAATCAGATCACAGGATTTTCAAAGATAAAGCGATATTCTACTTTTAGTTTCATTTTTGAAGAAACGCAACCCTTTCACTGTTGGTCAATATATTATTGTTTATTTTTATGATGGTAATTATGTTTGATCCTAAAGATTTTGTTTATAAATGAAAATCTTAAAGTGTTGTTTTTTTTTGCTACCTACAAACTATAGGGACTAACAACTCATTCTTCAGTCAACTTAATGTTGAGACATTATCAGGAAAGAATTAAAAAAAAAAACTGATTTTTTTCGTATTAGTTTCATAAAATTAAAAAATATATTGTAATTTACATTAGATATTAACATCAATGATTTGTATTGATTACTTGAGCTCAAATTTCTCTGCAATAAGTAATTATGGGTCCCACTGCAAAATTCTAGGGACACTGGGACACATTGACTTTAAGCCCGTCTCCTGGTCAAGTTACCTTATGATTGATGTATCATTACCATTTTGTCCACAATATAATCTTTACATGGAAAATTAAGGAAAGTTCTATTTAACTGTTTTGCTCTATCATATAAAGTAAACAAATTTGGTGAGGGGACAAACTTCGAAGGACAACATCTGGAACTCCATTTTTCATTTGATCACTCCGTTTATTTAATATCAGAAAATAGGTAATAATAAATATTTCTCAGCATTGAAATATAAATAATTCGAGTCCAAATTCGAATCCCACCTATGCTTTATGGTCAAGTTATAGGGGATAGTAACTTACGCCCTCTATCCCCTAAACCTACCACATTCTGAGGTGGCAACATGGAGTTTCCTAATCAGTAGGACATCCCGGACAAGAATTTGAAGATAAACAACAGTGCATACTTTTTGCCTACTCAACCACAATCACTGTCAAGGCAACAATGATAACATATCATTCCTGAGTTGACTTTAAATAGACTAAAAAAATATAAATTAACTATAATATCGACTAGAAAAATATTTGCTTTAACTAGATTTATAATATTCCATATATATTAACATTTTATATTACATAGACATTTAGTTATTTCTTCTGATAATTTATATTTTTTCACAACCATTAGAGAGTGGATACCACTATTTCATTTTCGTTATATGGAGGGTCCACTGTATTTATTAAAAATATTGCAGAATCAATCATAACAACAGAAAAGAATAAAGATTAATTTAAAAGCAAACAAAGACATTTGTTAAAGTAATTTTTTTTTTATGAATGAAATTATAAATAATTTAAATTAAAGAAGAAATAATTACTGTAAAAATTCAGAAAAAAGTTTTACAATTATAGTAATTTTGATTAAATTATTTCGATGATGTGATTATACGATTATAATTGTAATCAAGTTTCCGATTATGATTGTAATCAGTTCACATTTTGCTATATTTATAGTGCTATTGTATCAATTCTAAAATACGTGTGATCATTAACTTATATTTTCAGTTGTAATGATGTATTCATTGATTATGATTTTGCTCAAAATCTATATGAGCTTCCTTCACTAATTTGTTAACTACAATGATCATTAATTACAATCTACTTCCATTTATAACAAGCATATTCTAATTTTCAAATACCACTATCAATAAGTATTATTTAAAAAATTATATATGCTTTAAAATTCATAAATTGAAACACATTTTTGTCAAATAGCTGTGCGAAAATTGCAAATAGGTGTTTTTAAATTTTTTGGGGGGGAATGAGATAGGGAAGTGATAACCAAAAGCTTAACATCAATGATATTTCGTTTCAAATTGTTTAAACTAAATCAGATTCCAAAAAATGATTTGATATGAGAGTAAGGGAGGGGTGGAGTAGCTGAGCATGCTACGTTGTCTGGTGACCCGGATCAAAGATAATAGATTATATTACATAATTACGAATTTACATCTTGATGCACAGGGGAAAAAACAAAAAAAAATTAGTTAGGGTTAAGATGTTAATAAATGGCTTACTAAAATTATAAAAAGCTGCTATTATCCCAAATCATGTTGAAGAGGAATCAATCAAAAGCAGCAATTATAAAGTTTATTTACACAAAAAACAAATAATAACGCAAAAATAGGTTTATGAATGGTTCAGATCACATATGTAATAACTTAGTAATGAGTTATACTTTTACTATCACTAGGTTTATTTACATATCTATTTTTACATACATTACATTACATACCTTTACATACGTATCATTTAATTGATATGTATGTACCTATAAGGGATAAGGTAAGTTAAACTTGTTTTCATTATAATTTATTTCACAATCAATTAAATGACAACTCCCCCCCCCTTTCTTGCCTTTTAGGCTACACGGTTTTTTCTCAGTTTTTCCCAGGCCAGGAGAAGTATGCTGAGTTGAAAGTCATAACAGGATTTGAACTCATAACTTTTTTTGAAAGTTTGAAGTTTGAACTCAAACTTCTCAGTTTGATCAGATTCTAGGACAACGTATGATGCTGTGCACACGCGTTGACTCACTCGGCCACCCCACCTCATATTAAAATGACAACTTGCTATCATAGGTAACAAAAAATTACCTGATGGACGAAGACAGAAAATGCTTTATTTGGATCTTTAGCTCCTTGAGGAGAATGATAAATTCCAACCCACTCTCGAAGAAGATACTCAGTTTTCTCTGCAAGTCCAGGAGGGTCATCATACTCACGAGCCTAAAAAAATACAATTTCTATTTATGCTATTGAAATACTTAGGATAGATATAATCTTTCTATTACATAAAAAAAGTGTTTAGTGATTTTCATATTTTATTTTATTTTAGTATTGGGAGAGTAGTAACAGGAGCTCAAGTAGTGCTGCTCTCCTATAGTGATTATTTTACAAAGCATACAGCTGTTTATTTCATTACATATAGAGTAGACATAACATGAGCTTTATATCATACAGACCCCAACAATATTATGTACCTGTACCACTACAACCCATGAAGGGTCTGGGGTTCAGTACTATTTAGGGAAAGCACTGTTTCTAGGTCAACGGTTGTGCAAGGAGGTGATTTGACCGAGATCACGCTCAACCGCCAGGTTCTCCCCCTTAACCAATTATTTAATTAAGGGTACCCACTTTATAGAGGCTGGGTGTGCCCCAGGAGGGACTTCTGACCCAAGGTCGCCCCACGGCCAATGAAACAGATAAATACATTTTTCTGCCATGAGCCGGGGTTCGAACTCGGGACCTTTGCATTGGAAGCTCAGTGCCCTACCACTGAGCTACCCCGCTCCCTACAATATTATGTACATAATATTTAATTGTATAGGTTACAGCAATATAAAAATTAAAATTTAAATATATAAGGATAATTAAACAAATAAAAATAACTACAATGAAATGTAAATAAATATAGCGTTTATAATTTTTACTTTCACTCCCCCTTTGTCTGAAAATACTTATTTTTGCTAAGAAGAGGGTGGAGTGAAAGTCGTATGATGTGCACACCATATTTTTTACTTTGTGGAAGGTGGTAGTAACTGGCCAGACTAAGGTGGGCAGGGCATGTGGCCAGAATGAGCACCGTTGAAATACCAAAGAAAATAATGATGGAGGAGCTGCACCTCATAAGACGGGTAGGAAAGCCGAGGACGAGATGGTTGGACAACGTGGCCTATGATGCGAGAACCCTGCTTGGTGTACGGAACTGGAGAACTGCAGCAGAAGATAGAGCCAACTGGCGGAGGCTCTTGGAGGAGGCCCAGTCTCGGTAACGGGATGTCGTGCCACATATGATGATGATGATGATGGAAGGTGGGAGTGCCATCACTTTCCATCAAAGCTTGGAATGCAGAAAGAGTTTTTGCTAACTCTAGTCCAAGTTTTCCAGACATTTCTCTGAAACACCACAAGTAAATAATTTCTGCTAATTTTACAATCACAGTGAGGCCAGAATAGAAGAGGGTTGGTAAGTACTTAGATGGGCGACCACTCTGATTAGGAGATCATTCACTAGGCTAAGCCATGCAGCCTGAGATCTCTACTCCTCCCCGGGATATGTGAGACCTGTCGACCAACTGGAGCCAACCCATATCGACCGGGCATAGGAGTGATGACCAATCCTATGTACTTGAATCAATAATTGGGATGTGACTTTCTATGATGTCAGTAGCCCTCCTGAGAATAGGTTCATAGAAAATATTTTTCAGAGAAATATAGGTCCTCATGGGAAAATAATACTAATAATATAATACTGTAATATAACATAAATATTTATTGTTTTTAATTTAAAGAGAAAAGAAAGTGTTAGCTACTGAGCGTATTTCTGTGAAAAGAATAAGCTCACATCTATTCGGTGAAAATCAGACGGAAATAGTAGTATCCTCCCATCTACACCGAAAATTCACCCTATAAGTAATTGTAACCGTTGTACCCATCTGATTTCCTTAATATACCCTCCAAAACTATGTATATATTCATTTTATTACTTAGATTGTAGTTACTCTTTATTGTAATAGGTCATCTGGCCAGATTTATTGTCAATTGGTTTAAACAATATTGTTATTCTCAAGGGACCTAGTCCCAGAATAAAGATGATTTTCTATCTATCTATTTATCTATAACTTTGTTTACAATTTAACAACCCTTCTCAGTTTCTTGTCAAGAGACTTCTCAACAAATTTCAATTTAGGTGAGTTTATTTAAAGCTATGAAAGATTTGATTTTACTTTTATTTAATTGTATATGAATATGAAACAGAAGACTTTCTTTCAGAAGTATTTTTTTAAGTATGTATTCAATTTTTTTTTGGTACGTATTAAATTAATGCTTAAAAGACAATTTTTGTTTTATTTTTCTTTAAATTGCTCTTCCCACAACCTTTGCGCCACAAGGTTGTATTGGTATAATTTATGCATGGAGGGATAAACCAATTTTTTCCAACATTTTATATCATTATTTTAAGCAATTTATTTAGAAATAAACATCATAAGATATAATTAACTCGTTTTATTAACAGAAGTAAGTTCAAAGAAACCAAAAAGTAGAACAAAATTTTTTTACTTAGGCTAAAAAAATATTTTTTTAAATTTAAATATTTTTTTTTAAAACATTATTAGTTTTTAAAATATTAACAATTTATTTTTATAACATATAATCACATGATATCATTTCAAATCAAGTAATAATCGAGATACTTAAACTGTATATTTTTTCTCAGTATTTCGAGCATACATTTTTTCAAAACATTCAAGAGATCTCGCAGAGTAATTACATCTGTCAAACTTAAATATCCGTCATGCCATCCACTCTAAAAATTATTACACACCTTTTAGCAAATTGATTAAACACACTTTACAAAATAATTTGCCAGTATTTTTAGATCAAATTCTGCCAAAATACTTTGCTGAATAATTGAAGAAAACAAACTTAAAAATCGATCCAGCCACTCGCTCGAAAAATTGTTACATACTCTTTAACAAATTGATTAAACACATTTTATTTTGCAGCACAAATTGTTTCAAAACACTTATGTGATTTCAATGAATAAATTGAATCATCAAACTTAAAAATTGATCTAGCTGTTCATTCAAAAAATAGTTAAATACCTTTTGCCAAGCAGACAACCCAAACATATAACACTCTTGTTGTTTCACTATCAAAACACTCAGGGGATCTTTATATATAAAATACTTTATTTTAAAATATTTAAATGCAAAAAAATATTGATGATAAAATTCACAGAAGTTTTAAGTGCAAATTTTATTATTTTATAGATTTTGTCTTTTATTGACAACTATCAGAAAATAAAACATTAACATCTCCTTGAAAAGTTTCATTGGAAAATTCACAAATGTATTTCGACACTATGGTAATCAATTAACTTCCTAGTGATTTGATTATTGTTAAATCACAGATTAAATAAAAATAATTTCACAAGGAATACCCACAGAATATGTAAAATAAAGGATACTATATCAAAAAAACTGTTGATGTTAAGAAAGGTGTTGGGGTTGGTGCACCAACAAGGCCAAACATGGGGTAAGGATCGAGAGATTAAGGTTAGTGTGAGGTGCTAAGTTTTTGGTAGTGCGAGGGCTAATTGCCATTGTGGATTTCACCTTAAAGAGTTCTGAAACTCTATTGATATTGACCCACTATTTCCTACCATGTAATATGATGTTCAGTTTTTAAATTTACTTTTTTATATTTTATATATTTTTAATCCTAAACTGAAAAAAAAGTGTTGACAACACTGTTGTTATCAGATAACCTGACAAGAGAAATAACTTTCTCTTTTATAAATATCCGTGCCACCACTATGTGGGAGTATCCCTTATTTGCCACAAATCATAAACAATTTACACTATGATGAAATAAACAGTATGCATGAAATTAAACCAAGCATACACACTAGAAGGTTATTTCTCTTGTCAGTTTACCTATTAACAACAGTGTTGCCCCCAAAAAAGAAAAACAAAAAACCTTTCCATGATGAATTCCTGATATAATCAGAGCTGCAGGTCCATGAGTTCTGTCCGAAAAGATGTTCGATTCATGAGTAGCTCTCAATAAATCAATCAATGAGTTTAATCTAAAAACAAAAAATAAGTTACAAGTCTATGTATATAATAAAAAAATACAATATTAATAGTGACAGTTTAATAATGTCATAATAACTGGAAAGTCATGACATTTTTACCAGCCATCAAATAATAATTAAAAAGAAAAAAGACAATATAAGTTTTACATACACTATGCATGGGACTTTAGTTCTTATTCAGAGTAGCAAGTGCTTTACAAAACTTAATATATATATAGCAAAACAAATAGATATTACAAAACAATATTTAATTCTTTCAACTAATATTTCTTTTAATGTGTTATATACTGAAACAAGGACATATCAATAGTCACAAGTCCTCAACAGACAATTGTACAATGCTTGCTAATCTTGACTGTTTATATAATTAATGCATTCATCTTTAAGTAATACTGCCTCCCCCAGCCATCTTTCTCTGAATTCTGATAATGCAATACAAAAATCTATAAAATGGAACATACCCTACAAATCTCTATTATTACCTAATTTATAATAATGTAAAAAGGACCACGATAGGGCCCATTTGCCGGACTAGTTCCCCCACCATTAGCAGTACCAGCACAATAACGTACCATGACGAACATAACAGATAAGTCAAGGAAGTTATTTTAATTATTGACTTGATGAGATCCAATCTGCTTCTATCAAAACACTAACCATTCCCACCTAAATCATAATCTAACTTTTTATAGAGCTTATAATTAGAAAAATTAAAAACTTTGGCAAATTAATTATAGTTAAAATATATATTTTTTAAATTCTTCGTTAATCCATTGAAGCAATGTTTATCTTCGTCAATTAAATAATTTATATTCCATCGATTAATATTAAACCAATGAAAACCTAAAAATAATTACAAGGACTTTTAAAAAATGTATTATTTAATGTATTATTCCTAATTAATATATCTATTATTCTTTTCAGTCAGCTCGACAACACGATGTCGAGTCTAGAGCTCCTGTACTATTCTCCACCAATTGTCCTATCCTGAGCACCCAGCTCCTCATTCCCAATATGGACCTGGCATCACCAGCCACACCGTCAGTCCACCGAAGCCGAGGTCTTCCTCTACGCCTTGTTCCGTTTATTACTTCTGTAATAATTTTCTTCAGAATGTTATTTTCAGCCATTTGAGTGACATGCCCATGTCACCTCAACCTATCGAGCTTCGTGAAATAAACCACGTCTGGTTCTTAAAACAAATCCTTGAGATCCTGATTTGTCTGACACATCTATAGCTTTTTAAAATATATCAACTTAAAGATTTATGAAAAAAAAAATCTTGTTTTATAAATGACACCACCTGTGAGATGAGCTTAATAAGAGAAACAACTCCTGCAATTAAAGTTGTAGTGACCTTGTGTTTGAGTGATTTACTACATTTCTTAAAATAATTTCACCAAGTAATAAAAGAAACTTTTATGGACCACATTCGGCTTACATGCTGTAGTTTGGAGATCTGATATAAATGATGATAAGGGTAATGAGAGACCATCTAATCTCCCATTGTTTATTTTATATTAAGGTGTAATAATTTGTTAATATTAATTGTTAACTATAAATAAACTTTAAAAAATCTAATAAATATAACACTAATCTAAAACATATACTAAAGATAAGTAGTCCAATCAGATTACTGTGATTTTCATAAAACAGTAATAGTTTTGTATCATCGAATAATGAAATTTAGTTTCACTCATCAATATGTACAGTGTAGAAATGGCAGTAATATTAGATTATTTAGATATAACGAAGTAAAACAACTTGAACTGTTAAAAAGAAAATCATAAGTTTTTGTGTGGACAACGAATTGACTAATTAAGAACCATCTGTCACAATTTAGACTTTTAGTACAACTATGAGATAAATATATAAGAACAACAATTCTCCTAACTGGATTCAGCACTATGTAATAATATTTTCTAATGATCAATAAGTTCAGGTCAGCAATGAAAAAGTAGCAGAGACAATTAACACGCTTAAAAAATAATGAATTGGCATTCATAGTTGAGACTGATTATTTCCTTCCCTCTATCCTAATGATATTACCAATGAGGAATGGATTAGATTATGTCAATCCCTTTAGATTCTTTTTGATTATCAAGGTCTGCCTCATGTTTAGCTGGTATTTAAATTAATATTGGGTATTTTAAATAGTTTTTTTTAATAAGATGGTGGCAATGATTTGAGTAAAGCAAGGTCCAGTATTTTAAAGTTGTGTTTGGTTAATTGTAAAGAATTCAAATTCATTTTAAAGTATTCTTGGTTTACTGCAAAAAATAAAGCATCTGGGGAAGAATCCCTAGTGGCAGAATTATTTAAAAACTGCAAAGAAAATACTGAGGGAAATGAAGAACTAACCTACTTTGTCATGTTTATATTTATAATTAGGGAGATAAATTACAATGTGACAATTATCGTGTAATCTCGCATCTTAGTATTGTATATAAGTGGCACTAATGATCAAATATTCAGGATATCATATCCTGAATATTTGACAGCTGCTTGAAAAGTACTGGGAGCACAAGATTGACCATCTGAAATATGTAGAAGTAGGTTGATATGAAAAAAAGCTTGTATGTTTTCTGACATTTTATTTACTTTTCCTTTGAGCCTACCTATAAACAGTTAGAAGAATGCTTCAACTGTGAAAATTATTCAACCATTCACGGAGTAAAAGAAAAACTAACAAGAAGTTGGAAAGTTTTCACACCCTTTTCCCTACCTATAAGGAGTAGAATACGAAAATTCCCACCACCTGTACAAGAGACATAAGAGGGAAAGTAAGAAACTTTTAATACTTTTACTAATAAAAATAGAATAGCTATAAAATCTTACTTTAGAGGACAACACATTAAAGAAAAAAGAATTCACACCAGTTTTTATTTTTGCCCACCTCCAAAAAGACAGAAAATAGTTTAAACCATGAAATCCTCTTTACCCATTAACAATGTATAAGAGGAAAAACAAATTTAAGCCAAAAAATTTTCATACACATATTTGTGGCAGCCATGGTCGGTAAAAGAAGTACAATCAAATTATTCAATCTATGAGTTGAAAAATTAGAATAAAGATAATTATTTTGATACACAATTTATTGAAGGAAGTTAGTCGACTGTTCTACATATCATGGGAGATAATATTCAGGAAGCATTCATTATAAAGTTTTTATTAGTGCCGACGTTCCAAACCAAACTAGTGGGTCATTATCAGTGCTTGAAACGTCCTGAAGATGACCCACACATTTGGGTTGAAACATCGGCACTAATAAAAACTTTATAAGGACTGCGTCCTGAGTATTTATCACCCATAATATACCATTCTTGAACAATTAGAAGTTCTTAGTTAGTAAAAATATCTGGAGTAGTAAAAATAACCACACTCACAAATTTCCTACTAATTTTAGAGAAATTTAAACAACTATACATTTGTCAATTAAAAAAAAATCAAGATACATCAAAGAACTTTCACTTACCACCCTACTAAAATAATCGTCTAATGGCAATGATTTTTTTTTTTTCATTTTGTAGAAAATTAGGAAGCCATTGCACTTTATGATTTTTTAGCAAATGACATTTTCTTTTCTTCATGGTGTTTCTTTATCTGGGGAATGTGGCAATTTTTCTGCACTAAATGAAAAAATAATCTTCAAGGTGATAGCTTAATCTTTGGATTTGATGAAGTATTGAGGATGATAAGGCGTACTGACAAAAAAAAACTCTTGCAAAATAAAGATTATATATCGGACTAAAAGTTATTCAACTAAAACGAAATTATGAAAAGTTATTACTACATGTTTTCCAACCAGCAAACACTATTTGGAATATTGTTAATGCAAAGCACTTTTTATCATGTCTTCTCTCACAAAAGATAAAATAGTTTTTAAACAATTCCAGAAAATGGTACACTATAGATTTTTTAATAGTTAGGCTTAAAAATAAATTTAAAAGTTTCCATTTAGTTTGAAAACTTCTATTAAATAGGGTATATATAAAAAAAAAAATTGTTTTCAACCAAATATTTGGATTATTATTTCTTTGATATAAACTACAATTAATACATTATTATGTACCATCATTGGCCAATTGCTCGATCCCATACTGATACGATTCTTTGAGATGGCTGTCAAAGAACTGTTCCACCGCAATTTTCAACTTCCGCAAAATTATCAAATTTTTTCCTTGAAGAAAATGGGCCATAGATCTAAATAAGTCGTAATGGTGTGAGGTTTGGACTATGTGGTGGATGAGGCAGGATTTCGAAACCATGAAGTTTTTTGAGCTTTTCTTTGGTTCGACGGGAAGGGTGAGGACAAGCATTAACTTGATAAAATTCCTTTTCGGTTGATCAAAGCAGGATAAAACTCTGATAACTTCGCGTCCAATCTTTCCAGTCGAGTTCAAATTCCAAAAAATGCAAAGCATGGATTTTTTTCAAATTGGCCCTTGTAAAAACCAGAAAATCAGTTGTAACAACCAGTGACCGCGATCTAGCTATTGCTCATGGGTATTCGGATTTTGCGAGTAAACCTACTTTTCATCACAGGTGACAATCTTCCATTAAAATCTTATATCAGAAGGGTTTCCAATAAATTTTCACAAATTTCTAACCTCCTAGCTGATTGCTGAGAACGTAGTTAGAGTAGGTAGAAGGTAGAGGGACCAACCTACTGCTCTTTATCTTTTTTTGACTCAACAGCTTCCTGCAGAACCTCATCAATCCCCACATATATTTACAGTAAGGATCGAAATCGGGGGTTTAGCGAATCGTACTCTCCACTATTGTTTTTCTTTCTAAAATAAATAAAGTCAATAGAAACATTTGGCTAGGCTTCAATACCGGAACAGTGGTAAGTTTGTAGATCGATATGGGACAAATCGGGCTTTGAAGATTTTGATGCGTACAGCAAGACCTGGCCCTGTGTTATTAAGCCCAAACACGTACTGTTATCGAGATAATGCGAGGCAAAGGGTTCGCATCTACATAACTTT